AACCCCAACCCCCCCACCACCACCACCTTTTTTCCCCTTCCTATCTCTTCTAAACAACCTATAGCCCTCTATGTCTAATGCCCAGTCAAATGTTTCATCCCACCATGTCTCCACTAGGGCAACCAGGTCGATTTTACTGCTTGCAAGCAAGAGAGCGAGCTCCTCCTGCTTGTTTCCGATGCTTCTTGCATTAGTGAAGATACACCTTAATCCCCCCGAGAGAGCCCTGGGCACCCCCCTTCCTGAGAGACAACTGGTCCCTTGGTATATACCTGAGCTCTTACCTGGGCAGGTCCTATACCTGGTTGAGTTTTCTCTTGCTCCTGTGGATCCCCGTCCCCCAACGAACTTAGTTTAAAGCCCGCCAGAGGAGGTCAAGAGATTACATAGGCTGAAATTCATCCATCTTAGACAGGCATGGTACCTCAAAAGAAAAGCCAGTTCATGTCTTTGGGGAAGTGACAGGGATATTTACAAGCCTTGTCCCAAATCCCTTCTCTCTCCCCCTCTCTTTACCTTGCTCATCACTTGGGCAAGAACTTTAGTGTCCTGTCCCCGTCTCCTTGTGTCCCCTAGCCCGGTTTAAGGCCCTGCTCTCTCCATTTAAGAAGTACTTAGAATATATTTCACAGTGTCTCAATCTATATAGATATGATAGTAATCCATGTTGGGAAAAGAGAAATCAGTCCCCAACCAATGAAGACCCTGTTACCTGTGTGAACCTGTAGAATTGCTCACAGCCACAGATTATTTAAAAATTAAAATAAAAGGGGACAGGCAGAGCCAAACAGTGAGTTGCCCATGAGCCAGCAGATGGTGGTGGCCCCTGATTTAATCCAAAGGCAGAAGAGAATGGAGAAAAGGCTCCAAATAAAAAAAGGCCAAAGGGCAGACATACAATCTTGTTTATCTCCCCCTTCAAGTAAATATGACTCTCCCCAAGCCCTTCTCCCCCATTAAATATTATGTCACAGCTGGGAGACTCTGTGGTTCATTTCCCACCTGTAAATTAGTAATATTTGTCTGACTCAGAGAGATGTGACAATTTATTTAGGGTTCTATCCCAGTGATGACTGTACAGTAGACTGAGCCTTTAATGTTTGTGCAGGGCTTTGAACAGCAAAAACACTAGCATAGACACATAATGCTTAGTAGTAGCATTATTGGATTAGAAATTCAGAACCTTCTGTACTTCCAGCTGTCTCAGGAGAGCATGCTCTCTCGCCTCCCTCTGAAGGCCCAATCCAGCTCTCCACCGAATACTACCTGTGGTGGTAAGAGCTCTTAATGCAGGTGGAATTGAGGGGTAGGGAAGGATGAAGGTGATCAAGATTTGCAGATAAGGCCCCAAGTTATTAGGGCTGGGATGCCAAATTTATCAGGCCCCACAGGTCAGATGAATGGTCCATTCTGGGTTGGACCTGGGCTGATTCTGGCCCACAGGCCAGCTGGATCCAGTATATGGAGCCAGTCTGGCCCAGGCACTGCATGCAGTGCACACCAGACCAGACCTGCACTCCATATGGATTGTGCATCCCAGCCTGTGGCTATGCAGCATGTGGGTCCACGCCTAGGCCCATGGGCCATATGTTTAATACACCTGTGCTAGACACCCAAGGCTAATCTATGAAATCTGAAATTACAAGTATACTAAATCAAATTGTGTTCATAGAAAGTGGGCCCTGCTTAATCCTTCCATTAAGCAGTCCTGGAAACCCTGTTCCAATAATTATTAACCCTTTTTTTACACCACAGTAAAGGTATATAGTCTTTGATATATTCACTCAGTTAGACAGTGGCTCTTCTGCTCTACATGATGTTCATTGCTCATGTAGAGGAAGAAGGAAAGGCCAAGCAAAGTGCATCTTGTCACTTGCTGACTGCTGCATATGGATGAAAGCTGGGATTCTGTTTTGACTTCTGCAATAATCAGCTGGTGCCCACCCAGAAGCATGAAGATACTTGCACACATTATTGGTCATAATATTATGGAGCTGCATTTTAAATCTAGCTTGCAGCCTTTGATTCTGTCTAGAGTACACAGTAAATTAATATTTCATTAAAATGAAGTTAGTGGGGTTGGAATTTAATATCCTAAAAGGCTGTGATATACGTTCATAATATAGGTTTCTTCCTGTTCATTTTTTAAACATGTTTCACCAGGGGCAGGCGAAGTGCAGCCGGTGGGCCATACTGGGCCCCTGGCAGACTCCGTTTCCCAGAAGCCCCTGCCTGCATCGCTGCAGCCAGTTTCCATGGAGACCCTAGGAGTGGCAGGGCTGTGACAGCACAGGAACAGGGTTTCCATGAAGCTAGGCTGCAGCAGCACTGGCAGGGTGTGCAGCAGGGTGGGAAACTGCTTCAGGGCCAGGATTTTGCAGCGGTGACAGCATGGACCAGAGCTGGGGCAGAGCTACGATCTGCTGCCTGCATGCCCCAGGCAAGAGCATGCAGGCAGCAGATTGCAGCTCCGTCCCAGCTCCAGTCCACACTGTCACCACTGTAAGAGCCTAGCTCCAAAGCAGCTCCCTGCCCAGGTGCATACCCTGCCAGTGCTGCTGGGGCTCATCTCCATGGAAACCCTGGCCGTGCGCTGTCACAGCCCTGCCACTCCTAGAGTCTCCGTGGAAACCAACCACAGCAATGCAGGCAGGGACTGCTGGGAAATAGAGTCCAGCCGCTGGCCAGATCTCCCATTTTGCCCACCCCTGCTTTAGGCTCAGGCTTATTTTCTGCTGTTGAAGTGTACATATCAGCAGTAATTGGATGCTTTCCCACTCGCATTTAAGAGACATTTTTGTTAATAGTTCATGGTGGACATATTAATACACATTTTGCCTGATGGAGACAATAGAGAAATGCACAGGTTAATGTAGTAGGATTTATTTAAATGTACCAGGTGGTGCTGACATGAAAAATAAGGTTGCCCATACCATGGTATTCCACACTTCATGACCTCTGCCCTGTCAGGCACAGGGCAGTGTTGTGCAGTAGGGGGGAGTATGGCATCAAGGAAATGGGCATCAATGACTGTGTGACTAGGTTTCAAGCCTCAAAAGTGGCAGTTTTTGAAAATCATTTTCTCTTAACGCCTGTACTGCTGTAGATATACACAGGGAAGTACAAACTTCCCTTAGCCATGCTGGTCTGCATGTTATTAATACAGTTACTAAGAAACCCTTACTGACTGGCAGCAGTCACAGGATTATTAAACCCAAAGAGAGAAGCATTACAAATATCCCCTTGGCTGGCATACAGGTGTTTGTAGCAAATATGACGAATAATAACCATTGTAGTTCTGCCAGCTAAGATGAGGTCACAAAATCTCCTGCTTCAGGATATACACTGATCTCTGCAGCATTTACAGCAAGTTTTACCCCCAAATAAGATGGGATCCTAGTAGTTGTTCACACTTTCAGCTCCTTTTTGATCACTCAGTTGAGTGTGCTCAGCACCTCAGTGGATCATGTCTGGCATTGCACAACTGGCCTGAGGCATTGTGGAGGGCCTTTTCACCCTTGTTCTGAAGTAAAAATCTTGGTGCTGCTGATCCAGCAGGATGCAGGAGTCGCATCTGGTAGAGCAAAGCACTCTTCTTCTTATCACAAGTCTGTTCTTGAACAACACAGGAACACACATTTTCAGGAACATGTCTTCTAGGACTCTGGCTTGCACAGCACAGTAGCGTTCACACCAGCAGCTGTTGTAATCTGAGCTGTAACACAAAACCCCATTGAACTGTCCCAGTGTGTTGAGAGTCAATTTAATTATTTCATAAGGGTACTCATTTGACTCTGCATCTAGTTTTGCAAAGTGATCGTTGATCAGTCCCACAAGGAGCCCTGTAAGTGAAAGGACTCGAACCAAACATTTCAGGCTGAACTGTCTGACAGTTGGGGGCTGTTTCAGAGGAAAAATTAGTTTTCATATCAATGCTCAAACACTTAAATTGCAGAATAACAGTGTTATTGCATTTTAAATTAGTTTTTAGAAGCTGTTTTTTAATTAGAATGGGGTGGGTGCTTGTGTGTGTGTTGGAGAAAGTGAGTGTGTGTGCATTTGCTTGGAGATAAATTGCTAACTGAACAGCACAAGCCCTGGAAGAGTGCAAAGCATTTAGAAGATGCACCATGCAGAAGACTCAACAAGGAAAGCTTTTTATGTAGCTATCAGCAGGTTCCTTAATGGTTTTATAACTGTAAATGCTGTCTATGCATTACTGAGTGTGGGAGTAATGAGCATTAGTTAAGAGAGGCAAATAAAAAAAGTAAACCAAGACATTAAGTGCTTTTTTTTTTCCTTTCGGTTTTTTTTTGGTCTCCTCCCAGCTTTAAACAAACCACTTCGCTGCAAACTAACAATTCTGCCATTTATTTTGCTAGGTTAATAAAAACAAGAAGTGGCGCGAACTGGCAACCACCCTGAATGTTGGTACGTCGAGCAGTGCAGCCAGCTCCCTGAAAAAACAATATATTCAGTACCTGTTTGCCTTTGAGTGCAAGATTGAACGAGGGGAGGAGCCCCCTCCAGAGGTCTTCAGCACTGGAGATACTAAGAAACAACCTAAGATTCAGCCGCCATCTCCTGGTAAGTAGAAGAACTGCAGGTTCTTATAGCAGCATTTTTAAAAATGCAGATCTTTTAGACAACATCTTGCACCTCTCAACCCTCCTATCCCAGCAGGCATTTTAGGAAGATCCCTTGCTAACCTTGGATAACTTAGTTGAATAGATACATCTGAGGATTTCACTTGTGTGTCTGAATGGGCTCCAGGCCTGTGTCAAAGTTAACTGGGAGAAGCAGACTGCAGCGCTATGTGTCTCTTGCTCAGATACATGCACAGGCCAGTGCACCTGTACCTCCTTAAGCATTTGCATGTCTTGTCAGTCTGAAAAATAGCAAGATCCTAAGGGTTAAATTACAAAATGGTAGCAAATAACAATGGCATTCTGCAGGGCTCTGTAAAACATGCAATTCCCAGTACTGCAAAAATATATCCTGACTAAGGACCAGATTCTGCAACCCACAGTTTCATTAGTATGAATCTGGAGTGAATTACAGCATTCTGGCAAGCAGAAACACTAATCAGTTAGGGTTAAGATGGCAGCTCTGGTCCAGTAAATGGAATACAGCCTGCTTCTCTGATATACAGTTCTTTTTAAATGCAAATGTAGAGAGTTGAGAGAATACAGAGATTTTGCTCACTACTAGACTTTGTAGTTTAGAATGTGTCACTCTCCTCTGCCATTGTCATTAATCTTGCATATTAAAATAATTGATATTGGCCCCTTTCTGTATTCTGTTTCTTATTGTCAGGAGGCACAAGAACTGAAAGCGCTTGATTTTGGCTTCTGTCTCAGTGTGTACAGGATGGTGTTTGAAATAGACAAAGGGAGTGAGATTTTCTTGTTTTATCTGTATTCAACTTGAGACCCTTAATAGTTGACAAGTGTTATTGGCATCTGATAGAGAGAAACTTAAAGGAGTTACATGTTCAAGAAATGAAAGAGTGGGTAAAGGACATTATTGTTCTGTAGCATGTTTATTTCTTGGCTTCATTTGGAAAAAGACAACAGAAATTATCATATATATTTTCTGCCTCTGAAATCACACAAGGGTAGAAATGTTACAAGAGTGAATGGGAGAATAGGGGCTTCTCAGACTGTTTTGTAGAACTATATTTAATACAGAATAATCTCTTGGTTACATACCTTCCCATTCACTATGTTGCAAGCCATCTCTCCTTGCTGGCAATACAATTCCATTCCTGTGACAACTGCAGCATTTGCTTACATTGACAGGTTGTTTTAGGAAAATTTTTAACATATCTTAGTTTCTTTTATGCATGTTAACCGTCCAAAAGAAGGAGAGAACAGCCAGTTCTCCTCAGAATTTGCAGACTGCAGGCCCCAGTTTGGGGGCCTCTCTTACAGATATAAAAAGCACAAAGAGCTTTTAAGTTATGTAGTGCCTTCCCTGGCCAGGCAGGATTATTCATTGTAATAGTGGTTCCCAAACTGTGGCTCTCACTAGTGCTCATGTACTTCTATAGTATTTTCCATTCAAAATATGATGGTAAGGCTCATTATGCCCTATTAAAAATTTAGAACATCGACAGCAGTTTAGTGGCCCAAGATATTTGGAAACCACTGTCTAAGGATGCTCTGTTGTGCTTGGTCCAGTGTGCTAAATGTCTCAAGTGATAGGACTGAAATCCCTTCACCTGCAGTAAATATTCCATAAACTAACATTGTTAGGAATTTTTCCTGATATTCATTTTCAATTTACCTTCTCTCATCACTAGCTGACCTCTTTAAAACACCTGAAATAATGCCTTCCCCTCTGTAATGTTTAACCCTTATAAAACCTTAATGGGGCTTGTGCCCCATCACTAGTTAGTTAATATCTCAGGCAAGTATCTCACTCTGAAAAGCAAGTTTGAGAGCTAAAAAGGGACCCAAGTGTTGTAAACAAGGGTAGTCTGGGTATTTGAAAGTCTAAAGGAAGCATAGATTGGTCAGGACATGCATTGTTATTAAAAATTGAAAGCTCTTGGATTTGACTCCTTCGCCTACACAGAGAGGATGGTAAATGGAGCTGAAGCCATTAGATGCGTTAGGGAGGAGGCTAAGAAAATACATCTATTTTTAAAATGAAAAAGCAGAACTAAAACTGAATGAAATATTCTGCTTCCCTCTTCCCTGCTCCCAATGTTGCCATTCGGTAATTTGGTTAGTGACTCGGGCAACTGCCATAAAACTTGCCTGAATTTTGAGATCTTGTTTTAAATAGCAGGACCTTAAACAAAAGCAGAGAAACATTATGGACTGCTCTGCTTTTATAGATTCCAGTGTAGCTTGGAACTAGAAATGAAAACCACGAAGTCCAAGTTTAAATTTAATCACAACGTTACATGCAGTTCAAACAAGCTGTCTATGAAGAGAACTGAAACTATTTTTCTAAAATAAAAACACAGCAGGGCATAGGGACCAGAAGAGGGAGAAGTGAGTAAAGATCTCAAGGTTTGTTTTGTTTGCTGGAAAAGAACTTGTGTCGCTGATTGGACTGCACTTCTGTATGGAGAAAGGCTTTCCCAGTGTGTATCGGCTTTAGTACATGAAATCCCGCTGAGGTGTAGATGCTGCAAAAAGCACAGGCCTGTTCTCTTTAACAGTCAGCCTTTTTTTTTCTTTTTCTTTAGCTTATGGCAACATTAACGTTTTAACTACACAAAAGAAGTAGGCTTGCAGATGTATTGTAGATAATCCATTCCTCTTTTGCTTTCAAATAGAACAGGAAGCAGTAGACTAAAGGGTTGCTAGCTTTAAATGCTAAGGTCCCACTTGTGCAGCTGGTTCCATACAAGCAGGCCCCAGTATCCTTGTGGAGCCCAAGTACATATGTGTATAGACATTGAACTCTGTGGCTCAGGGGGCCCCATCCAGCCCTATATTCCTGTTTGTCACAGGAAGGGGAAGCTGGGCTTGGTCCATGCCTGCAACCAGCTGAGGATATGAGCCTAGGACAAGGATGGGGAAGCAGCTTCAAAATCACTTATTAAAAAAAAAAACCCAGGAAGCTCAGTTGCTCATAAGAACTGAAGGAACTTGAAAAGAGCAGGAAGACCTTTGCTAGAATTTCTGGGTGAAAGGAGAAACCTAGTTCATGTGTAGGAGGTGGTGGTGGTATGGTGCCCCACTGGCTTATTGCATTGCATGAGGGGGTGAAATTCTGTTACTGCTTCCATTCCTTGCAGCCCTGCTGACTTCAGGGTAGGTGGGGGATGTAACTGAATGCAGAATTTCTCTCTCTGTGCTGCACTTGACCATCTAGGGAAAAGCCCTGCAGCTTGAATAGAGGGATTGGACTAGTTAAGCAAAGCAGCGGGTCAGTGGGCCTTGCAAACTGGTGATCTATACATCAGCCAATTTTAATGCACAGCTTGCACATACATCTCCAGTCCCTTCAGATACTCCCAGAGAAAGAAGGTGGCTCTGAGTGTGTCAGATTTCTTTCTCTTGGGAAACAGCAGTTGAAAGGGGTTTGAG